CAATTTCGCAACAATTCTGCCTAGCAGCATCTGGAAATTTGCTCGTTTTTCCTTTCAGCACTTTAGGACGAAAATTGAGGGTTGAGAGAGCTTCAGGCGGATGCTGAGCCCCCGGGCCCGGGCTTGGGCCTGGGCCTAGGCCCAATACTCCCACATCCCCTTCCCGCTTCCCCTCTCCGCGTTCGGCCGTTGCAGTGCAATTGACTTGGGCTGCTGTTGGTGCTATCTATTCATTTTGGCGATGGGGCCTGCACGGGGTTTCCCGGGCGCATTGTAACGGATTTCTGGTAACTGTTTTTGGTTGCCATTGCGTCGATTTTTGCTGCTTCAACTGCGCGCACACCCAACCACCCACCCATACACACACACACACCCACACATACGGGATGAACTGTCAAATCTTTTTGTGTGTCCGTGTCTCGATAGAGTCCACTGGGGTATGTTCGAACGGACGGGGGCTATGGGAGCTTAGACGGCATTCCTGCAGTCGATTTTATTGGATTACGGTTTAGATTGCATTGGAAAAAACTGCAACTGTAGAAGCAGGCGGCAGGCAGCAGGCAGGAGGCAGCAAGCGGCAGGCAGCAGGCACTGGGCATTCATGTTGTTTATATTGCTACTATTGTTACTGTTATTGTTGTTGTTGTTATTATTGTTTTTGTTGTTGTTCTATGCGTTGTTTAGAAAACATGCTGCATGCAAAAGGAATAAAAATCTTTGTCGTCCTGTTGAACCCCCCACCCCCTCCCCCTTTCCTTGCACATTTTGTTGTACTTAATTTTTTGCCATTCGACTGGGACGCAACAACAACAACTACAACAATGCAACACGACGGCGTGAACCAATTGAAATTTGTTTGCTTGTTTATTTGTTGCTGTTTTTGTTGTTGTTGTTGGTCATGTTGTTGTTTGATGTTCGATGCCATGCGCTTCCGTTGCGTTGTACGTGCAACGAGACGCGACAATGTCCTGTCAATTGCAGCAGGGGCTAAATGTGGCAGCAAAGGGTGCAGCAGGGTTGCAGCTGGGGCGGTGGGGGCGGGGGACGGCAAACACTGACTGTTAAGCTGCGATTCCAGAACACTACGATTCACCATGACTGTGCGCAGCTCAAAAAGTTGCCTTAAGCTTATATATAATACATAAAGTTAGCCCCTTTTTAGACATTGGGGGTACAGGGTATTAAAATGTAGCTTTATAAATCATTTGTTAAGTCTTCACCTGATTACGTTTGCTTTTCTAATGGGCTCAGTGCACGCATGAATATGTTTGAGCATAAACCTCATATTAATCGTACAATAAAAAGGGCAGAAGAAGCAGAACAGAGGCTGTTCGAAATGCGGCGTGAGTGTGTGTTTCTTGTATATATAAAAACTGGTTTCAGTCCACCTACTAAGTGCAGGGTATATCCTGAGAGAGCACACTCGATTTCCGATTTCTAGCCCAACCGATTTAAGCATGGAGCTGACATTTTCTTATAACTTTGAACCCAACCTTATCCCAAATCAGTTGCCCAAAATAACAACCGCACCGAAGCTCGAACCTCACCATCTATTGATTTTTAACATGAAGATATATACAACATATGCAATATGTTCACTTGAAGCGTCAATTATGAATAAACAATTGGAATGGAATACTTAAAATTAATATCAAACCAAAATTTCAAGCCCCAAGTTAGAGAGCTGGCTCAAAACCGAACAACTGGTAATTTCTCTTAACTCGCAGCCCGGGTTGTTGTTAGCATAAGTATGGCTTTTGAATTTGAACCTCTCTTCTTAAATAGCATGGACAACAAGAACCTTTTTCTAAGGCACAATACTTACATGCTTCCACTGGCTGGGGATTCGGAGCCGTATCCGCTTTTCCCACCTCTTTATTATTATTTTGCATGAATGTAAATTGTCAGGACTGCTGTCAAAGTTGTTGTTGTTGTTGTTGTTGTTGCAGTTGTTGTTATTGCTTATGCAATGCATTTTGCATGGCTCGTGTGCGTCAACGTGTGTGTGTGTGTGAGATTTTGGGTGGGTGTGTGTAGCTATGCACTCTTGTCACATGATTCGTTGAAAGCCGATTTTCAATTATTGGATTTTGTTTTTAGCGCGTTGCAGCAATTGTCTGAGGCCCATCGAGACCCACCGAGACAGACAGACGGCCAACCACCGCACCACTACTGGGCCGTCAGCTCCTTTGGAAGTTTATTTGATTGCCACCGCACTGCGTGTACGCGAGCCAGCGTTCCCAGCAGGCATGAGAAAGTGGGTGAAGTTGGGCCGGAGCAAGGGTTATGCAGATTAGATCCTGTATGCGTGTGTGTGCGAGTGTGTGTTCGTGTGTGTGTCCGACCGATGTTAATAATGGCGCTACATGCAGCGTACATGTTTGGCCGTTGTCAAAGGATTTTTTGCCGGACTGTGGCCCAATCTAAGCTAATTAAAATTTGGCCACGGCTCATCGGGCTTCGAGCGAAGAGCGCATAAAGAAAGCAAGGCGAAAGCCAAAGGTCAAAGGCCAAAGGCCAAATGCCATGAGCTAAATGAGCTGCAGCAGAATTTTAATTAAAATTTGCTAACAGCAGCGCCCCACCCCCAAGACCCCCACAGACAAATCCTAAGCCCCAACAGGATCAAAGGATCAAGCGCTATCGCTGATGCGGCAACGGCGACCACAAGCTGCAGCAGCACAAGGCTAAGCAGCAGCATGAAGACGTGGCAAGCCCTTTGCCACACGCACACACACACACACACACACGCTCGCTCGCACACACACACACACTCACACCCACTTTGACACACTAAGATAATCCCAATTTTAGACTAATTAAATTGTCAAATATTTAGCAAGGGCGGACTGAGGCAAGCGGAAAGCGGCACATGGGCGGCTTGTTATCAGTGGGCGTGGCAAGCAACCAAAACTGTTGAACGCTGCGACTAATTTGCAGCTAATTAAATGCTCGCCAGCTGCGCGGCTTGTTTGCAGGCACAGGCATTGGACGCTGCCGGTGCAGGTAGCCAGCCAGGATTCCACTTGGTGCATTGTGCAGCGGTCGCGCTTGGGTTTGGTCAGCCAACAATATGCTAACCGGGTCAGAGGTTTATGGCCCACTGCCATAGCACTAAGATCAATGTCAATTGCAAAATTGCCGCGGCGGCAGCAGCAGCAGCAGAAAGAGTTAAAAGGAGTGAGCGGCATGTGCGGCACTCATAAAATATCCTTTCTGGCCGCTGCTCCTGTTGTTGTTTATTTATGCACTGCTCGCATTGTGTGGCCAAAGCAAACGGTGATTGCATTGCCCTCTCGCTCTGCCGGCTTTATGGTCGCCTGCCCGTTGCGGCTCCTAACCAACGGGTCGGCGGCAACCCTTATTTCATCGGAAATTTTCGGCGCTGCTACCCACTGCCTGTGCAACGTTCGCAGTACCGTTCCTGCCACTGGCACAGCCACTGCCACTGCCCCTGCCCCTGCCGCTGCCCATCAATCCGTTAGTGCGCTTTTACAACTTGTCAGTCATTTGAACAAAACTAATTTGCATGTCATTTCTTTAGCACACTTGAAATTTTGAACATTTTGCACGAAACACAGCAAACCTGCTGCCAAATCGGGGTTTGGGGGGCAAAGTGGGTTGGGTTTGTTGGCCTGTCTGCAGTGGGTGGGCTTGGCAGCCATTTCAGCGGGCACTGCGAGCAGTGGATGCATTAGTAAACAAGTCTGCAAGCCTCTAATTGAACCAGGGAACGCCAAGCTTCGTTCAAAGCATTCCTTTTCCTCTAACTATTTGCTGCACATAAATATATGTAGTTTCTTGGAATGTTCAACTCGTATCTAACTGAAGGCCGAAGCTGTTGTTGCTAGTTTAATTTCCCCTTATCCTACTTGATGTTAAGTACTTATAAATAAGTATACAATAAATATTTTTATTAGCTGGCTCGAGGTCCGGACCTCGAAAGGTCGCCAAAATCAGCACTATGTAGATTTAAAGATAGATAGGCTTATAAATACATTGTTATATGTAGATACATAAATGCGTATAGAGATACACAGGTATACAAATATTTAGATAAATGAACATATATTGATATATATGGATATGGCATATCTATACATCGAAAAATTCATTTATTAATATATCTATATAAAATTTCATATAATTGGATTACCTATGAAACAAGAACTTCAAGTAAAAGTTTTAAGTAAACAGCTTACTTTGAGGATTACTAGGAAAATCTCCCAATGAAACAATTTCTCAATTTATGTTTTCCTGGACTCATATATTATATATTCTATACTAAACAGCTTCGTTCGAAGGTCTGAAAATCGATCGAACAAAATCAAATGGTTGCCTAAAAAGAAATTAAAAATATTCCTAGCTAGCTAGCTTTAAGGGCTCAGTTAGCGGGCTACCCTTCAATCAGTCAATCAATTCAGCAATAATAGAGTAATTATATATTTATATAAGCATTAGTGATATATATTAAAAAACTAAAGGCGTTGGAAGTGTTAAAAAATGTATACCGCAATCTATAAAATTTAAAAATATTTAAAGAAATTTTTACTGATTGACGACAGTTTCCAAACGCTCAGTATAAACTGAAAGGGCTTTGTGAAAGAATATATATACTCTTTAGGGTAAGCTGAAGCGTCCATATACCCTCTACCATTGAAAGGGGTACAGGGTATAAGAACTATAAGCTGAAGTTGAATGGAGAGATTTACGAATGTAAGTAAAAGTCAGACGAGTTTCTTGGAGCGCATACATTTTACTTGCTTCAATTGTGCGTCCAACGATAACACGTGCACTCGAAGGCAATTTTGGATTGGAAAAGGAATTGTTGATTAAAATGTGCAAACAAAATGAAACACGCCAACAATTAGCGAATTTTGTGCGAATAAGGAAGCCGAGATCAGAGAACTGAGCGTCAGCAACGCAGCTCATCCAACTCTTGCAGATCCAGTGCCCATCTCCTCCAGCATCCCCAAGAGCGGCTGCACGGTATGCAAGCTCTATATGACATCGCCGTCGGGCTCCGGGGGCGACGGTGACTGGGCATTGTGCTGGGCCAGTTTTCTCTCGTAGGCATCGATCTGGGCGGCAATAGTCGCCAGCTGCTGCTGTATGAAGTCGCACAGGCGCAGTATTTGTTGCACGCTGCGCTCGCGACGCTGCTCCAGTGTCTCCCGTCTTGGCGGCTGGATCACTCGCTGCGGCTGCGGCTGGGCCGCCTCCCCCTGCACGCCATCGCCGGCGCCGCGATGCTGCGGCGCCAACGGCGCCTCAAATATGATCTCTGCATCGCCGCCGCCCATGTGGGCCATGTGGTTAGCGGGCGCGACGGTGGGTATGCCCACAACATGATTATTATCGCCAATATTACCAACATCTCCAGCCTGGCCCTCATTGCCCATCGCCCCCCAGCCGCCCAGCTGTCTTCTGGCCCGCAGCATCGGCTGTCGCGCATACCGCTCCATATGGCTGCGCATCGGGGTTATCATCGTCATTGGCATCGTCATTGGCATCGGCATCGGCATCGGTGTCGGCATCGTCAACGGCAACATCATCGGCATCTCCATGCGTTCCATATAGTCAATAATGTTCTGTCTATGGCGGCGGCGTCGGTTGATCAAAATATTGCTGTGGTTGTTGTTATTGTTGTTGCTGTTGTTGTGGCTGTTGTTGTTGATGTTGTTGTTGTTGCTGTTGTTGTTGCTGTTGTTGTTGTTGTAAATGTTGTTGTTAGTGTTGCTGTTCGTGTTGTTGTCAGTGGTTCTGGTGGTAGATGTGTTGCTGTTGTGATTATTGTTGGTGTTGTAGTTGTTGTTGTTGTTGGTGGTGGTGGAAGTCGTATTGGTGGTGGTGTTGTTGTTGCTGTTGCTATTGTTGCTATTCGACGCCATTGCTATTTTGTGGGCGTTTTGAATTTTAAAACCGAAACGGAAAAGTTTTGCGAGCGCCAAGCGAATTTCTAAAAGTTTGAAGCGTGCTTGTAACCCGATCTGTATGCCGATGAAATATAACTGAAAAAATCTGACAAACATTGACACAACTAAGTCTCCCGCTGAATGCTAAGACCAGGCCTACTAAAAACCATTTGCGTTTCACATTTTCGAAGCCCCGCCAAAGAATGGTGCAGCGAAATCCACGTAGGCGCGACTTTAATTCACTTTAAATATATCCAATCAATCGAAAACAAAGTGAAAAGCCATACAAAAGGGAAATAAATATTGAAATATTGGAAAACTAAAACTGTTTACAGAAAAAGACAAGTTTTCGGTTCCTGAAAAATATTCAAAGCAAAGCAACCTCTTCTAAACGACAAGAATAAATACCCACACATCCTCACAATGTTTCCAGTTAAATTCATTATTGGCAATCAACATTTATATAACTTTCTGTCTTGATGACTAATTGGTGATCAGCGCAAAAGCTGACCTTTTTGTGGAGTCTTTTTTATTACTTTGTTCCAGCAGTTTTTGCAAAATTAATTAAAATATTTGGGGTTTATGTTCAGATTTCTGTAAATTTTCAGTTCTAAAGTAAGCCACATAAAAGTTATAAAATGTACTTTGATACAAGGCCTTCCCGACTGGAACACTTTTTATTATTTTCAGATATACATATGAGGCAAAATGTATAGAATTTTAAGGGCTCGTCAAACTCCTTCAGTAACACAATGCAACAGTCATATACATATATAGTCACCCAGCCCCCAAAAATTAAAAAAGAAAACCTTGCCTTCTAGCAATGTTTAAAAATCCCAATCGTTATTAACAATGAAATTTAATTCTGTTAAAGAGTGTTACGTTTCAGGAATCCAAATAAATCCTAGGCCTTTTAAAGATATATTTAATTGAATTTAACAAATACTTGATAAAGCTATTTTCATTGTTATTATCATCATAATGGCCGATTGAGTAGCGTAGACTAAGCTTCGGCACTCTGAACACGGGGAGTCTAGGTATCGAAGCCTTGAGAAGTCGGATGATGGAAATATGCATTTCATTTTAATATTAATATGTGATATAGTTAAAAAAATATCAATCTAACTTTTCTTTAATGACTTTCTACCACGACAATACCACCTCCATATGCTCGCCTGAGATTCGAACTAAACTGTGTATGGTCCTGAACAATTGAAACTACAAAACAGCCCTCAGATGCGAAAGGACACACACACACACACATGGGGTAACTGTTATGTTAAGCTTTACAATATTATGCACGCTTTTTTGGCAGGACACGCTCATAAAAATGGCAGCACAGGTAGACAGGACAGTGGCAAGGATACTGGAGACCCAAAAGCGGCCAACACAAATCATATTACAAAACTTTACACGCTTAAGAGCGCATGTAATTGGCTTTTGAAATGTACGCGCGGCAAAAGGTTAACACGTTTTTGGTAACCAGGAGCCAGGAGCCAGAAGCCAGGCGCAGAGTAGATGGAAGCCAGTGGCCAGTGGCCAGTTGCCAGTGGCCAGTGGCCGGGACAATGGGCGAAAGTCCGAGCCGAGCAACGCTTAGCCCCGATGTGCTAATAACAATAAGTGTCGTTTGTGCCAGTAAAATGTCGTCGTTGTGAGTGTGTTCACTTTTGAAATATGAGTAGACCAGGAGCAGAGCAGACCGAACGACCGACCGAAGGACTCAGGCAAGGACAACGGCTGCCAGGCTGCCTGGCTGCCTGGCCTGGCAACCCCTTGATGCCACTAGCTAATTTTCGCCGCCGCCGCCAACAACTTAAAGTGTGCTGTTGTTGTTGCTTTTTTTGCTGTTGGCGTTGGTTATATCCTTGAAACTTTTGGCGCTAGACATGTGCTCGTTTTAGCCGTGACGTATATTTAACATGCCACACCGCAACTCCAACTCCAACTCCAGCAAAAACACTGAACAATAGCACACACACCGACACACACACACACACACACAAGCAAACAATCACACCCCTCCAGCCGCGCTGCCCCCCGTCTGTGTATATTACGATTTTTGAGTGTTGGCATGTTTGCTGTCAGAAAATTGTCAGAATTTTATGGCCCCATTGGAACTACGTTTTGCTTGATTCCCATTATTACCCCCCACCCCCCCACATTACCTTTAATACATTTTTTTTTATTTTTTATAGTTGTTGTTGCTGTTGTTGTTTGCGTTTTAATATTGTTGCGCTAGAATTTTCAGCAGACTCGATGATTGGAAAAATTGACAGGCATCTAGCAAAAGCGATCACTATATAGCAGCCATATACTATACTATATATGTGCCATCTTGTTTGGCAACACAATTATGCAAGATTTGTTTTTGTTGCTATTGTTGAAGGTAACTCAACACTGACTGCACATTATAACATACTCAGAGTCGGGGAAAGTCAATAGAATATTCGTTAATAATCGAATGAAAGGAAATAAGTATGCGTGTTTTATGCGACAGTTCCAGACTATTAGATACCCTCGACCCATCTGCGATTTGTCGTAATATTTGTACTTTTTAATGCAGCAAATATACTATATACACATCCACACACAACAAACCTTGCTGCTGCTTTGCTCTGTTTCACAATTTAGAAAAGTTTTTATGACAAATTTTGCACGTTAAATTATTGCTAAATATATGCGAAATTAAGGGTATACTCCTCCAGGATAATCCCCTCTCACTTTCGGGCAAAAGGAGACATCATCTGATATTAGAATATATATATAATAAACTATCTCAAGCTGTTGCAGTCTTCAAAATATGCTTACAAAAAACGAAGGCGTGAAATAATTATCGATTTAAAGAAATTGGAGATTAACTTACAGCATTTGTAGTATAGAAAAAAGGAGATATATTAAGATATCACAGGATAATTATCGATACTTTGATCAACTTTGTGAAAGTAGGGTAAGCGGGAACCTTGCTGTCGCTGCTCTAAGAAGATAGATTCGATGCAACAGGACGAAGCTCCAGAATCAGGAATATATATATAAGTATATACTTTCTATGATGGCAAATGCTTCTCCTTCCAGTTACTTAAATTTGCACAACTCTCATATACATAACAAGCTTATGAAGGACATCGAATAGTATTTCTCTGACTGTAACTAACTATTGCGCAAACTATGTAATTATTCATTCATTACATTTCAATGGACTAGCAAACATCATGGTTGTTAAGCTTATTATGCTACTCTAGACTCGGAGTTATGTATCAAGTTGGGACTAATCATGTTCAGCTGATATCATTTTAAGTAACTTATATAATTATATGTATATAGGAGCTGAGATAGGTCAGCACTCAAAGGCAAAACCTAATCCAAAGCCAAAGCCTTGACATACATTCGGGCAATGGCCGCCAGAGGCAGAACTCGCGAGTCGCGCTGCCTCTTCCCATAGACCTTCCGTGCATTTGATGTTGGCACTCAGAGCACTCACAACGGGTTCCCGTTCAACGTTTTCCCTTGCCACTGCCCCTTTTTGTCGGTTTGGCTTATATTCGGCAACTGTTTTTGCATCTCCAGACTCGCAACTGAATCTGTGTGCGTGCGTGTGCCGCCATTGTTTGGTTATCTAATGCCCGCCAGGGGGCCGATCCCCGGAAAAGTACATAAGTCCAACATTCTGAGTCCTTGTTCGGCTCGACTGTCTGCATATGCCTGATAATGTTATTCCGCGTTGTAGCTAACCCACCTCCATACATGATCTCGTAAACGTTACCCCTGCCCACACCACACCCCACCCCTCTCCTTCCAGCCATCTATGGCATTGCTGTTTGAAGTGGTTGTACGATTTGGATTTTGATTTCAATGCCACTCAACTGGCCGTTGCCGTCCTGGGAAAATCGCCTTAAACAGTCCATTGCGGAAATGCGAAAAACGCGACCGAGTGCAACCCCGGGTCCGACTAGCAGGCGCAGAGGCAGAGGCAGAGACAGGGGCAGGGGCAGGCGCAGTGCTCGAATCACAGGGGGATGGTTGCTGAGAAGCTGAGTCGCATCAGTCGACCCATTGGCTATGCACGGGGTGGTTTTTCATTATCATTTGCCCTGCACATAAATTATTTATTGATAGCGATTTTCCAAAAAAGATAACAGTAGCAGCAGCAGCAGCAGGCAGCGAGGCCAGCTTCTATATACTTTGGTCGCGAATTCGCCAGGACGAGAACGCGGATACCAGGACACTGTCTCACTTGGAATGTGCTTCGCATAAGCACAAGCGAGCACATGTACCAGTCAGAATGTGTGTGTGTCAGTGTATGTGTGTCAGTGGCCACTCAATGCTTACCACTCGATATAGTTGTTGATATTGTTGTAACTCTTGTTGTTATTTTATCTGTTTGTGTGTGTGTGCGTGCACCCTAAATCGACACCCCGACATTTCGCCCAGGTCCGGATGTACATAAATATTTATAAGTTTGTGCTTTTGCCGCATTATGCGATACACTATATAAAAACCATATTAATATGCATTTGAGTTTTCAAGTAAATAGCCAAGGGACATACACATAAATGTATGCGTGAGCACATGTATGTACTTGTGTTTGTCGACAAAGAAACACCAACAAAATATTACAAATAAATTAAATATACGCAAATAAATATCTCTGCCTATTTGCACTTCAATGTGTATTTGCTTTATGCGCCTGACTTGAATAAAATTCTAGAACTCTGACTGACTGACTGACTGACTGACTGACTGACTGACTGACTGACTGACTGACTGACTGACTGACTGACTGACTGACTGACTGACTGACTGACTGACTGACTGACTGACTGACTGACTGACTGACTGACTGACTGACTGACTGACTGACTGACTGACTGACTGACTGACTGACTGACTGACTGACTGACTGACTGACTGACTGACTGACTGACTGACTGACTGACTGACTGACTGACTGACTGACTGACTGACTGACTGACTGA